CCTGGAAGGCGGGCCGCACCAATCGAAGTCAAAGTTGGAGATATCTTCTTCATACGATGCTACAAATCCACAATGGCTCCGTGAGCAATGCTGAGATCGTCTCATTGCGCGTTTGAGGAAGTTCACAGTCAAATAAAATGGAACCCCGAATTTCACTCAGTCGTCCTTTATGAACCGCTGACATTGATCAGGTGAATGACAGACTGGAACTGTCATTTTTTTCTCGATCAGTTACACCCAGTGATCTGTCCACTCTTCCACTGAAGTCGCATCCATAAACTGCATCCCACACATCTATGTGGGAAAACTGATTCCAAAAGTATGGGAGCATAGATTTATTTGCAACCCCCATCCCACGTAGGGTTGTCAGTTTTGATAAAGTGCAATGTGTCAATTGTCCGTTGACCGGCTCATCACATTTTTCCTATGCGACTAGATGTGTCGTCCCCGGTTGTAGCTGATTTATTCCCGTCAGTTAAAGCTTTTTCTCCTCATCACTTGCACCAGGCTTGAAAAATGTGCAACTGATATTTCTTTGTTATCCTATACCCGAGTGCGGACGATTGATCTTTCTCAAAAATTGTGAATGTTCACCTCGTGTTTCTGTTCTGATACCTGTTGTTTGAACTACAAGTCACCACATAGACAAAACTCGCCAGTTTGCATAGCCCGATTTGGTTACTGTCTTCGGGTTATCCAAATGGCCGTCAAATGAGAGAAAAAAAATAATGAAAAAAGAGAAATAAAGACGAGTGGCTTGAAATAGATGATACAGAAAGCTGATGAAGTAGATATGTTGGGATGCGTGAGTGCCACTGGTTGTGACATTCGGTGAGGTTCAGTGTTTCTAACGGTTGACCACGCGGTTCTTAACTGGGCATCCCAGTGCGACCTATGTGACTGAATTATCTGCTGAGCTGAAAATGTTCACAGCCAAAAGCTCCAGTTCTCGAGAAGACATGTTGGGTCTTGCATACGCGTCTGATGAACTCACTCCCTCTACGGGGATACCAGATGAAAAATTTCTACTCATTTGAATATTGTAACCAACATGTTTTCTTTCGGTTTTAGAGACCCGAAGACGAAAAGTGAGGTCTAAAATCGGCCTCATGAAACGTGAAAATATGTGATGCTGCTGATTTCAAAGCTCTATCTCTGTACCCGGAATGTGTTGTCCGACAGTATTCCGGGCATGAGAATTATCGGTTCGTTGTATACATTTGCGTATGTTCGACTATCTGCCTCACTTCCTTAAAGTGAATTCACTTGTCGGGAGTAAACCACTGGAACGGGTGACTTGCAAATGGTAAAACGGCATGTTTCGGTTTGATATCCATCTACTTCTTTGCTCTGTCTCTCTCACTCTGTTTTTCGATCTGGCTGACATACTTTCACACATTCCGTGTATATGTGAAGCGGATTTTGTCGTTATCTGTTCTACTACGGTGTTTTTGGTTCAGTCTGCTCACTTTTTACCCATATATGTCCAATCCCTGCTCTGATTCTGGCTTTTCCAATGCATGCTAAAAATGATGCATACTGCACCGTTAGAAAAATGCACATAATCAAGCTTAAAACTCCTATCGTAAGTGTTCCCATAAACAACACACACGCTGTCATTGTTGTTATCTCACCATCCATGCAACTGATTGCGTGTGTTGTGCTAGGCTTGTGATTGTGAATGTTACCGTGGTTATCTGCTCATTTCGGAGACGAATTTAGAACGATAAACTGGCCAGTCAACGATTTTGCGAATTCCGTCAGCAGTCGTTTTAGTGCTATCCATGCAAATCTAGGGCTCCGGATTGTCTGACGGACACCGTCTGTACATTTTCAACCATTGAAAATTTCCAAAACAAAATTATCCGTTCTTGTAGGAACCAAACTACGGAGTTTTAACAACAAAGTATACGCTGTCCGTTCAGACCATAGTTGTCTGTCCCTCATTACGTTCCTTTGAACAAGACATCACGCACCTTAGGCAACACGTGGTGCAATCCCGAGAGGCGTTTGAATGATATTGTCCTTGATGACGGGTTAGCATGTTTGGTCTGGACAGTGCGTATACTTTGTTTTTAGCTTTCCATGATTTCGCTTGGACCACGCTTGTCGTTTTTATTTTGCCAATGTGTAGTAGTCACACTATTGGTATCTTGTCGGTCACAGTTATTCTGTCTACAGGATACAAGTTATGTTATTCATTCCTTTGGCATGCTCATCATAGTTCTACAGCCAATTGTTTGAAACAATGTGTTACATATTTGAAAACGGCCAGGAATGCCAAACAAACTGTCTGCAGCTACTGCTGCTACTACGGCACCATTTGTTTCATATATAATACCCATAATAATCGACCAACATGTATTCAGTACTGTGTGTGTGTGTGTGCGTTGATAATAACAAATAAATGCGGTTTTCGTTGGACCTAATCATGAGCTAATAAAACCAGGTAACCAAAACGTTTCTGTTGTTCATCAGTCCGACTACACAGACGGGTGAATGTGTTTCGCAATCGAGAATCTAGTATGTACGTGCACGTTCGTTTGTTGGGCAGATGGGTGACTGAGCAGACTGATGGGTAGACGCACGTGTGTGCTAGAGAGAGAGCGACTTGCAGAGGTATGGAACATGGTGTGTCGATTCCTTAGCAGGAAATCGTAGAAATCCGCATTCTGATACTCTCAATAAAACCCAATTTCCGCACATGCATGGTCAGTAATAGATATCTTCGCCATCGCTCAACTCAGTTCCACCTTTCGATACGTGGAGAGCTACGGAATAAAAAAGCTGCATGATAACAGGTGTGTCCTTGGATTGTAAATCGGGAAGCACCTTGGTCAATTGAGGTTAACTCTTATTAACTTGTGGTTCACCGCGTCCAATACGCTGCTACGAATGAGTAGTGGCGTCACAAGCAGGTTGTGATGGGTTTCAGTGAGATCATCTGGTTCCCGTCAAATGTCATTTAATTCCAGTGTTTTTAACAAATACGAATGTGACTGCTCTTTAAAACCTAAGGTCATTTACCCCTAATCTGGGGCCCATGCTGCCCAGGTATCTCAACCCATGAATGAGTAATGATCTGCCTTTGTCGCCGGTACTTGTCCTGTCCTTGACAGTGGTCCACCTCCCGGCAGATTAGATTTTAGGTAACCTCGAGCGGCGCCATTTTATCTCCCTTCATTTTTTCCCTGCACATAAACAACCTGCCTGTTCCTACCAAGTTTGTTGACTGTAAGTATGCTGGCGATGTGATGATTTAGTGTCCCTCCAATAACAATGTATCTTTCCACCAACTTCAAGGCAGTCTGAACGACGTTTTTATCGGGCCGTGCCACGATCGCTTACGCTTAATGTTTCCAGATGTATTGATATTCCATTCGATCTTAAATCCGGCTCTCGTCATCAAACTACCTTTAATGAAATACCTGACCTAGTCATCAACATTCACAGCATTCCCAAGGCTGACTCTGTTAAATACCTCTGGGTCGCACAAGCTCCCCTGGACTAACCGTGCAGAGATCATTCGCAATAGGGTTCGTAAACTTTCTTTTTATGCCTTCAGGCTTAGGAAGCTTGTTGCTTGCTTAAATGTTTTCAGGTTCGTTGTTGCACGCATCCTCTCAGTGGCTTCTCCGGTATTTTTCCCGGCCTGAAAGAAAACGATTTCATATATAATTTCCAGATCCGTTAAACTCCTTTCCTGATGTGGTGGAACAACATGAAATGTTCTGGTAGATTTTACTGTGTGCAAACATTTACGTGTGTGAAAGAATAGCCGACAAAGCGGACGAAACAGCATCATTGAAAAGAACAACTGCTTGATGGCGACGATGGTTAAGCCGGCAAAATAAAAGCCCTCAATGGCACACTATGTGAGAATCCAACACTGCTGGGTAAATGTAGTATGGAACTACAGCCCAGACAAATTTCACTATTATCAACTCGGACTTTCAATTCCCGGGATTCAAACCCAAGATCATGTGAATCACTCTAAAACCATGCTAAGAATATCTCTTTTTCGATCAAAACCACCAAAACAGCCGGCTTATTTTTGGTACCATTCCGGCTGTTCGGTAGCTGAAACCATTCCGTGTTGTTCACGACTTTGAATGAACCTTGATAGCATTGACGTTTGGTGTTAGTCGACAGTTTTCGGTTTGCACCACCGTTAGTTATGTACAGTGAGATGAACAGCAAACAGGGCGGACCCCATAGTCATCAGGACCTGCTGTTCAGTGATGGGAACCATCAACCTGATCCCCGGGACGTGAAGTGGCGAACCGCATGAGGCACCAATAAGTTAGGCGTGGTATAAAACCGGGTAACAGCAGAGCTCTCTATCACAAAAGTTGGTTGGCGGGGTTCGAACCTCGGACCACAGGGTAAAAAGCTCGCATGTGACAGTGACTAAAACACTGCGCCACCATCACCCAGAGTACAAAAAAGTAGATTTGAGAAGTCTTAATCTACACCCTTTGTCAACAAAGCCGAGGTTCTTCAAGGAGCTGTGCTATCCCCATACTTATTTTCAAACTTATATTTGTGATACTCCTTCAAAATTTGTAACCTGAAACTAAGCAGAATTATCTAATTATTCATTTTCCCTATTCTCTGCTTTTTTCCTATTTTCATTTCAATATGCTTTAGACATTCTTACCCTTCATATCGATTATTCATTCAATCAATCTTTCTATCTAACAATGAATCAGTGATTCTGACCACATCCCACAAAAGCGCCAGGTGATTAGCGCATGCGAACGTTTTTTCCTTTTATAAAGATTATTGTACCGTCACTTAGCTGAACGTCTGAACTCAGACGTGTGAAATAAATACAAATACATACGAGATTCAAACCCTGAAAGAGCTGGTGGACACTAACCAAGACTGAGGATTGTGCTTGCAAACAGAATTAGGGGAAAAATCAATAAAAAATTATCATATAAACAGAAATAATCCGATCAATGCCCTGGGATGAATATTAAGAAAAATAGACTCACCAAGCATTTGTGACCATCCGATCCGCGTGGCAGCGCCTTCTGGTTGATCTGTGATAGTCGCCTCGTAGTACCATGTTCCAGTGTGGACACCGTGCGTTGCACGAGCCATACAGTATCCTTTGTCCCCGGTGATTATTAGCTGAGACTCGTGAAGTTTCAAGTGATTTGCTGTTGAGCGAATCAACAAAAGGGATCGCAGACAAGACAAGTGTCAAAATGAGCATTGCCATTGTGTGGCAAGATAAAACAAAGCCAACCTTACTTGGCTAGCTTACAGAGTACACCAAATCACAAAAGGCATCAAATTGGGGATGGACCAAATGGACGGAATGGCAAAAAGAAATTATGTGGTTAATAAAACAAGTTAATAAATAGAGTTGAATTGTATGCAAAGACAGAATGAATTGGACTAGCTAGTTTTGAACGTGAAGCATCGCTTGAAGTCTATGCACAACAGAGTACAGGACACAGTGTGCCCCATTCAGATGAGATAAATAATTCCACACACGGACCAAATTTCCAAACACGACAAGCCGGCTAAGTTGTCATTTTGTACAGCCATTAACATGCACTTTCGTGTCCAGGTTTTGCTTAATGTCTTTTGGCTGCCCATTTGGATGAAGCAGTAGGAGAAAAATCCTCAAGATTGAAAGTAGAGTCGAAGAGAAAATTGAAAACTCCAGTAAATTATGACTGCAAAGAAACGAAGACCTGACATGAGGGTATGTAAACCCTAACCAGGAGACTGGGTCGCATAGGTTCTCTTAGGCTCCCTGGCTGGGGACCCCAGATCATGGTCACCGGCGGTTAGACACACCAAGTGATATGCCTGGGTGTCGCAAACAGTGCCGCTCATGCATCAACTCAGTATTTTCTTACCATCAGTCTATATGAATTCTCCATCCCCCGCTTAGAATTGCTTTCTACATTCCAATCTCCATCCTGCTCTTTTATCCAAACAGGCGACCAAAAGACGGCAACCAAAATCCGCGCACGAAATTGCGTTGTTTATGGTTGTAAAAACTGAAAAATAACTGCAAAGAAATCGAGAATATGCACCAACGCCATTGTTTACGACACCCAGCCATATCACTCAGTGTCTCTAACCATCGGTTACGATCATCCCGAGGTCTCCATCCAGAGAGCCTAAGGGGACCCATATGACCCAGTCTTCT